AATCCCAGAAAGGCCTGGGGTCTCCGGGTAGTAACAACACCTTCCTCTCTGCAGAAGCCCGAAATCACACACGGACGCCCCCCCACCCTTTGCGGACACTGGACGCCCACAGGTCAGAAAGGTCGGGAGAGAAAGGGATAAAAATTAGCGGACACCGTGGCAAAGAGTGTATGCTTTCCCAAGAAAACAGAGCCTCCCTTTCACACCGGAAATGTAGAAGCACCGCGATCATTGATCTTTGATTAACTCCCATCAGAGCGGGAAGTCTGATGTCACCATCGCACCTTCTCTTGTCATTGCAATCACTTCATATGACTGTGGTGTCCACAATTAATCTCCTTTAACATAAAACTCCACTAAAGGAGCCTCACATTGCTAACAATTACTCTGAAACAAGGGTTCAGTGGTTTTAAAAAGTGGGCCTGGTCACTTCACTCTCCTGAACTCACTTTATTTTCTACCTTGGCAGTGTCACACGAAGAAGACAGCAGGAGTGAAGCAAAGGTACAACAGCTTCTTTCCAATGACTGATTCTTCTGGAACACTGCTCAGGAGACCATCTCCTTTCACTGGCTTTGAGCAGGATTAGACCAAAAGTTCCCCTGTTAGTGCTCTGCAGCAGGATCTGAGCTTCTCTCAAGGATGATGTGGGGTGACCAGATACATTTGAAGGCATCACAGGCAGCTTCTGAGCTGAGAAAGGAGCGTAATACACATTCTTGGGCTGGTGGGGGAAGGGGAGAAAGGTGAAAAGAGCCTCTTTGTGACCTTGCTGGAATCTCCTCTCATTTTTCGTTTGAAGCAGCAGAACCTGTGGGCCAGAATATTCCCCAATCACCTCCACAGAAAGGGAGGGCGGTGGATGGAATTTGGAGCACCTGGATGAGTGTTTGATGGTCACCTTCCCATAAAGCCCTAGAGAAGCCTGCTAGGAAGATTCCCTCCAAGTGTTCAGCCTGAACTTGTCAGCATAAATGGAATGCACCCCTGTCCGGAAACACACTGTTCTCTCACTAGGGACTCCCTCCACCCAGTATGGCATATATCTGTGGTTCTGAAGGGCCAGGGTGAGGATGAGGATGGGGTTATTGTGGGGAGGGGGGAGAATAGAAGGGTCAGTGCAAGCTCACCATGGGCACTTGGGAAATTTCTGTGATGTGCAGGGCCTGCTGATAGTGACTCGGAGAGGTCATCTCATGAAAGGAAGCCTCCTTGTCATTCTGTTCAAATGGCATTTTCTTAACAACGGCCAGGCATACATACCCTACTCATCGCAGGTGGCAGGCAAAGACACCTTGACAATTTACCTCTTTATTGATAACACAAGTGCAGAGGAGGCAAGGGGAGCCTGGGTGGCCTAGGGTCAGTGGCACCCAATCTGGCTCGTGAAGAAGGAAGGCATTCTAGGGCTTCACCAACACCATAAAGTATAGGTGGTTCAGGGTAGCAGGTGGTGCATCCCTCAGCATCAGTCGTCTCTTATTTCTCCAATCCTTGGCCCTCCTATTCTTAAACCAAACCTGCGGTCAGAGTGGAAAACAATTGGTCACTAAATCAAACAGTTGGTGTGATTGTAAAATAAACTTCAACATGTAACATTATATGCCTTTGAGACTTAAAACTGCATCTGAAACTATTTACTTATTGCTAAAATGCCTAAGGAAAGTTAACACCACCCCCTCCCTGCAGCTCACCTTTAGTGAGCACCTGTTACATGCCAAGTTCTGGAATAGGCTCATTCCTCCCGATTTTAATGTTCCAATGGTTTCAGTCAGGTGTCGGGTGCAGGCGTAGCTTGAGTTGCACCACTGCTTGGTAACAGGATAAAGAAATGTCTGTGTCCTGACAGCTGACTATCAGCCGATTATCTGGATTCTGCCTTCTCCTCACTAGGGATAGTGTCACGTTGTTGGTGGGGGAAATTGGGGCGTGGTAATTAGTGGCCCTACGTAAAATCATACCAAATGTAAGGGCTCCCAATTTGAAAATCCTATCTTCCGCCAGGAGTAAATGATTAATAGGAAGGAAGATACTGGATTTTTAGACAGACAGTTTCCTTCAAGGAAGTCTAAGGGGGTCATTAGTTCTCTGAAACCTCTTGAGAGTTAAAAAGATGCTCTAGCCAGGAAGGAGTGGCCATGGGGTCCCATGAAGTTTGTGGCTTGTCTACTGGACCGTGAAAGCTGATGAAATCCCCGGAGATGGCCTTGACAGGAGTGCTGAGTCCAACTCGACCAACCCCCCACTTGACTAAAACTCTCAAAAAATTTTGGGCACCCAAAAGTTTAGGGGAAACAGGCATACCATTGGAACCGTAGTCAATTCCTCACGCTCCACCCTGACCCCCCCTACAGACGATCCTGGGCTCAGGACCAGGTCAGCTCACCCTGCTCTGGCTATCTTCCAGGATCCTGGCCCAGAGCCGCTGCTGTCCAATATGACAGGTTACCCACCCTAGGTGCTGCTACTCAACCAGGGGTCCCAATCCCATGCCTTACTCATAATGCAAAAGGTGAAACACACATTTTAGGAAGATACAACTGCAAGGGTAAGCGATCATAACATCTTTCTCCCCTTAATATCTGCCAACTATTTCTGCAAACCAACAAAACAGTCTGTTAGACTTCACTCTCTTCTCAGTGAGGGTTTATGTTGTATTTGAATCCTTTAAGCTTCCAAACTCCATTTTTCAAGTGGCACAAAAGGCCATCTCTCCCTGCCTGAGACCTCATTTTTGCCCTCCCCTCTTAGGATCTGTGCCCTTTCTGCTGCATGAATGCATAGGCTAAACGTGCTTTGGGGGGATCCAAATACACCAGTGGTCAAACTCCATAAGCATAACCAAAGCCCACAGCTAGCTGAGGAATGGGCTGGTAATGGGTCTGTATTACCAGCACCTGTTTCACAAAACTGTTCTATTGGCAAAAGAAAGGAGAAAAACTGTGTACTGAGCTTCTTGTGGAAATTTATGCCATAGGGTTTGGAAATAGATGAGTACACTAAGTTTTTCTGCTGACTTGTTTCCCAATGCCACTGAGAGAGCACCACGGACGCACAGGGAAGGGGTAAAGCAGCTCACCAAATCTAAGGTTTTCTCTTTTCTTCGCATATGCCTAGCCAGCCTGAGCCAGGCCTGTGAGCCCTGTCTGTGGTGTTAGGATGCCACTTCTCAATGATCTACTTTGTTGGGCCAGCAGTCCACCCCTCGATCTGCAATCCATTTCCATCACTGCACTCGCACATGCACTCTGTAGTAAAGCTAATAAACCCATGTGTGTTTCTTCCATTTCCTTTGGGGAAATATCAGTTTGATACAACCGATAGTTTTTTGGTCACCTTTTGATCCCATCACCTATTAATTAGTCATCACAGCCTGCAAGAGTGAAAAAAAAGTATTTGAAAATAACACAGATACAAGTCCATGAGGACTGAAATAAGGGCCACCCCCCACCCACACACCCACACACACACACACCAAACAAATTCCACAAAGCTCTCTCCTCTTCAAAACAGTGCCACCAAAATGGAATCCAAATCCTTGGATGTTAGGAATTCCTCAAGAAAAGATTCACTCACGCATTTCACAGACTCATAATGTAGAATTTGTGTAGTACCTGAAAGGCCTATTTTGACTATGTAATTCTCCTCTAAGCTTCTTTCTTATTAATTTTGCCTTGTCTGTTTCATTCTTTAGACAGACTTCCAAAGCTTGTAAACTGTCCCTGCAATCTCACCATGTAACTAACTATTCTAGCAATGCTTTCAGGTTGATTCATCAACAGGTTTATTTAGAAAAGTGAAATTTTGGGCGGCCGCACTTTACAGAGCCTTACCAAATACTTACAAACAAAGGAAGGAGGATAACTTGATGCGACATCTAAGCTATCTTCCCCTATGAGGCTCAGCTTAATTAAATATGTTATTCATACAGTGTCCTGTGGATAATTACTCCATCACCCCAATATTTATATATTCACTGATGTAGCTAGGAGCATATGCTTGGCTTTACACAAATTATTACAATTGGACCCTCTTATAACATGCTCCTCTGTGCCTTCATTTGAATACTTCCAAAGTCAGGCTGAGCCACAACATGACTCCACTCAGAAGTGTTCCTTAAAGGATACCAGTGCTGGAAGGAGGTGAGCTTTATTGAAGGTACTAATGGGTCTCAGGGCCGGCTGCCTCAAAATATGCTCATGTGGCATGTGGATTATTTTTAATGAAACTTACTTGCAAAACAGCTGGTGCAAGAGGAACACTCTGACTCTCCTGTCTCTGTCCCCCTAAAAGCAAGAAATAGATCTCCCATATGAAAGGTACTCTCCCTGCACCGGGAGATAAAGAGACAACCTCATCCCCAGAGGTAGGGAATTCAGGACCGAGAAGTCTATATAGACAAATGTTGTTAATCCTCTACTAATTTACTCCACCAAGCCAAAACTCTGCCTGGATTCTTCACGGATCAAGCACGCAGGCCTAAGCACCCTTGTCTAGCCGATTCCTCACAAATATGTTGCTTCTTTCTCGCAAAAGTGCCTGCTTTGGACATTTCCTCAGGTCCCATTCTGTGAGACCTCCCTAAGTATGAATTAAATTCTTTTTTTTTTCCTCCTGTTAATCTGCCTTGTGTCACTTCACTTCTTAGACCAACCAGAAGAACTAAGAAGGGGAGGGAGGAACTATCCCCTCTCCCCAATGATGCACATATACATGTACATATGTATGTAGTTACAGACGTAAATATCTATGTTTGTAAACACTGTATCTTTAATTTTGTACAGAGAATAGGAGAATCAGTTTATTTTTTTTTTTTCATTTAAGAAACCATATTCTCTGGTAATGGGAAATAACCATAAGTTGGAGTTTGTATATCCCATTCCCCACCCCACAAAGATTCCAAAGGGCAAAACTTATCTGCCAACATAAAAAAGAAAACAAAACACATCAACTGGAGAGTAGACGTCTAGGACAAAGGTGTTCACACCCTGAAGCGGCGTTTAGGATGGCTCCCCTGCCAAACGGCTTCTTTCAAGTTTACTGACCAGTACTCTGGCTTCAGTCGTGCCTAGGCGTCTTGCAATGTCCTTCCTGAGGGGAGAAAATCACAAAGGTTTAGTATTTGGAGTTGTGAATAAAGCAAAATATATGAATATACATTTTATGCTCCTTTTAAAATTGACATTCTCCCTCAAGAACCTCTCCAAGTAAAATTCTCCTTCATTCCCCTGCCAGGCCTGCCTTATAAATCGTTTCCCCTCAAAACCGAAGGTGGCATCAACAACTCAGAAGTCAAGATAAGCAACTTTAGTGAACTATTTAAAAATGGAAAAATTGATGCAAAAAGTGTATAAAGAGCAAATTGTAAACTTTTAAATAAAAGAAGGATCCAGCATTGTAGTTGCTTGGCAGTACCTCATCCTCCTCACACAGACTCCAAAAACTTTATTTACACAAGGAGGCCACCAGCACAGTCAATAAAGGAGAAATTAGATAAATTGGACCTCATCAAACCTAAAAGCCTCTGAGCATCGAAAGGACACAACCAATTGAGTGAAAAGCCAGCCCACGGGATGGGAGAAAATATTTGCAAATCACATATCTGATAAAAAAAAAAAACAAGCTTATATCCTGGACATATTAAGAACCCTGCAACTCAACAATAAGGAAACATCCAGATTAAAAAACGGGCAAGAGACTCGAATAGACGTTTCTCCAAAGGTGATATGCAGGTGGCTGCTGAGCACACAGAAAGATGCTCAACATCACTAATTAATCATGAAGGAAGTGCAAATTCAAGACACACTGATACTACCTCATCCCCTTAGGATAACTGCTGCAAAACAAAACAAAACAAAACAAAACAAAACAAAACAAAACAAAACAACAACTGTTGGGGAGGACATGAGAAATTGGAAGCTTTGTGCGCTGTTATAGGGAATCTGAAAAGGTACTGCCTGATGCCACTTGTATGAGGTACTTGTATGGATATTGCACAATAGAGTTTCAGTTTTGTAGGCTGATGAGTTCTGGAGATGGATGGTGGTGATGGCTGCCCAGCAAGAATGTACTTAATACCCCTGAACTGCACACTTAAAAATGGTTCACGTGGCAAATTATATGTTTTCTGCAATTCACCACAATAACAATTTTGGAAAAATAAATGAGTCTTATGAGGAATACAAATGGGAAAGTACTTGAAAAAGCATATTAAAAGACACTCAGCATCACTTATCAATAGAGAAATGCAAATCAAAACCATAAGATACCACTTCACATCCACCAAAAGGACTAATTTCAAAAAAGCAGAAAATAACAAGTGTTGGGAAGAATGTGGGGAAATTGATATCCTTGAGACTGCTCGTGGGAATGTGAAATAGTGGTAGCTACTATGGAAAACAGTAGAGCAGTTGCTCAAAAGATGAAGAGCAGAATTACCATGTGACCCAGCAATTCCACTTCTGGGAATACACAAAATAGGTAAAAACAGTGGCTCCCAACCGATTTTGCACACCCATGTTCATAGCAACATTACAAAAAACAGCCACAAGATAGAAGCAACCCAAGTGACCATTAATAAATGAATTGATAAACAAAATGTGGTATTTACACACAATGGAATATTATTCATCCTTTAAAAGGGAGGAAATCCTATCACATGCTACAACATGGAAGAAATTGAAGGCATTATACTGAGTGAAATAATCTGGTCAGGAAAAAAAAAAGCACTGCATGACTCCACGTAGAGGAGGCACCTAGAGTAATGAAATGCACAGAAACGCAAAGTAGAAAGGTGGTTTCCAGGGAGAGGGTATAACGAGTTGTTTACCGTGTACGGTATTAGTTTTACAAGATGAAGAGAGCTCTGGGGATTGATTGCACAGTATGCATGTACTTAACACCTCCGAACTGTAACACTTCTGAAAACTGGTTAAGATAGCAAATTTTATCTTTAAGTATATTTTACCACAATTTAAAAACAAGCCCACTGACCAGTATCCATACTTGATTCGTGTGACGACTGTATGAAAATGTTTCCCTTGGCGCGCAGAAAATATTCTCCTCCCCCAACCCTGAGCACAGGTGGCTTTTTTGGCTTCAAGGGGGAAGGAGAAGGCTCGAGGAAGAGACAGAAGTGCCTAGAAATGAGCTGGAACCTCTCGGAGACCTGGGGGCCTCTTGGAGCATGCCACTTACCTTGTGATCAAGTCCGGGTATTGAGTGTTCTTGAAAATGCTTTCCAGCTCCTGCCGTTGGTCTGGCCTGAACTTCATGCGACAGATTCGTGGCCACAGGTTCTCCTGCCCAGGAGCCGTGGGAGCTGCCACGTGGGCTGCCTCAGCCAGCTGCTGCCCGGGCTCCTGGTCGCCACCTCCGCCCTTGTGGTTCTCGTCGACTGTGTGGTTCCCGTGGGCATCGTGGTCCATGTCGCCTTCGTGGCAGATGTTGCCTTTCTGGTCGTGGTCACCTTCGTGGTCGCTCTTGTGGTTGATGTCACCTTCGCAGTCGATGTCATCCGTGAGCACCGGATCTCCTTCCTCAACGTGGCCTTCTTCTTCGGCTTCTGGTGCTGCACCTTGCACAGATTCAGATCTTATTTCCACTTCGTAGGAAATGTCCCATGGGCTGTACAAGCCGGGGGTCGTAGTAGCTGACCACGGGCGGAGGATCCATGGCTACAGAGCTGCCGAAGTCCAGCGCCTCCCCAAAATGTGCTGGCTGGGAACAGAGGCTGATCCTCTTTTTGGCGCTTGGTGCGGGTTAAGACCCGTCTGAGGTAAGTTCAATGCTTAGGTGCTCCACTTTAGATGATTACTGTTGGCTCTCTCCCACCCCACCCCCACCCCCACCCCCTCCCACTCCCCTCCACGCCCCTCCCCCTCCCCCACCCCTCCCTTCACCACCACCCCCAGCCAGTTGTGGTGGGTGGGAGTTGCTTAGGCGGGAAAGCAGCTGGGGTGTGGCCATAAGATAGGGGCACTACGCAGGGGGGTGGGGAGTGGGGGAAGGGTCCTGGTAGCGGGCATGGGTGGCGGAATCGGGGTTCTAATTTAAAGCTCCATTCACTACTCTCCACTTTAGCAGTGTGTCTGCCCGGAAGGAAGGGGCCGTGCTAAACTGAGCAAGCTGATTTGGGGGGCAAGGGCCAACAGTGGGGGGGAAAGTGGGGGGGTCCGAGATCTCACATAACCACAGGAGCCCTTGTGGAAAAGATTGGATATTGTGTCATGGTCCAACCTTTGGTCCCCTGCAGGCCACGGGCTAGTAATTAAGCTCAAGTGATTAACTATGGGGGGCTTCTCGCTCTGAGTTTTTGCAAGGACCCTGAGGGCAGAGCAGGCTGTGCTTACCTGGACACCAGGAGCTGGATCTTGGCTCTGTGTTTGCGCGGTATTCTGGGTCAGATACGCTCTGCAAGAAACCCAATGCATCCCTTGAGAAAGTTCAAGGGCCCTAGAGTTTTAGTCAGGCATCTGTGTCAGCGTGCAAGTGTAGAGCCCAGCCCAGTGCTTAGTATGCCCAAGAATGCTTGCATTGCGCCGGCTCTGCACACCACAGTGGTGCGTGCGTCCTCTTCTTCGTGCCACCCCAAAGTCTCTGGTTGCAGGTCCTCCGTGCAAACTCAGGGTTCCCTGGCCTGGGCTCTGGCTAGGATGTCAGGTGAATTTCCACCTGTTGCCCCTGCTGCCTCCTCCTTTCCCCCATCCCTCACTTATTCTAGAAGTATGATCCTGTTCCCTTGCTGAGGGGAAAAAAAAATGAAATTGGCCCTGGCCGGTGCGACTTAGTTGGGTGGAGTGACATCCTGTGCAGCAGAAATTAGATGGTTTGATTCCTGGTCGGGACATGCCTAGGTTTTGGTCCTGGTGGGGATGCATTCGAGAGGCAACCGATTGATGTTTCTCTCATACCTCAGATGTCTGTTTCTCTCTCTCTCTCTCTCTCTCTCTCTCTCTCTCTCTCTCTCTCTCTCTCTCTCTCTCTTTCTCTCTCTCTCTCTCTCATCATCATCCCTTCCTCTCTCTCTCTCTCAAATCAATACACATATATTTAAAAAATTAACAAACATTATATTCATTTTCAAAAAGAAGGTGATACAGGCCTCACTGGGGGCTCCATGGCTCTCCCTTCAAGATGTGCTTTGTAGATGCTCCACAGGTGCTATTATCCCGGACATTGCCAATTGCTTCTAATAATGGGCCCTATGCTTGGTAACATATATGATTTATCCTATGTCTACCATCGCAAACACCACTGCATTCAGCATCGTTTTATGAAAGAAACTAAACCTTTTTGTGGGCCTTTAAATGGATTTAGGAACATCTCAGACTGTGCCTAATGGATAAGTGCCCCCCGCCACCCCCCAAATTGTGGGTGATGGCTAAGGAATCAGCTAGAAGAAGATGACTGACAGAATGTGTGTGTGTGTGTGTGTGTGTGTGTGTGTGTGTGTGTGTGTGTGTGTCCGTCCTCAGGGTACGATCCCTGTGTACATCTGTGTGCATGTATGTATGCTTTTGTCACCGGGGTTAGATCCTTGTTTCCTGGACTGAGCTCTGTACAGGAATGTAGTGTGGGACACAGGGCCAGAACAATGCTTGAAAGGGGCATGAAAGTTTCCCCAATTCACAGTCAATATAGCACAGGGGACTGTTATGAGGATTGGTGTAGCATTCCTCTTTTCAGAGGCTAAAAACATTGGCAGTGGTAAGACTGTTTGTGACTCACAGACAGACATTCTTCAGGCCTGAAGACTGATCGCAAAGGTAGTGTGTCTCCAGGGGTAAAGAAACTCCCATAGCCCTCCTCTGGCCTTCAGTCTGGTCATTCCAAACAAGCAGTCATTGGTTTTCATACTCGGCGTCTGTAATCCACTAAACACAGAGAACTTTCTGTTCAGCTGGCTGTGCCCAGTGTCGGCTCTTGCACGTTTTCTCTCTGGGTGTGAACCTCTAGGGCACTCAGCCACCCTTAGCCCTTCCTGACAAATACTGAGATCAGCATTATTGGTGTTTCATTTCTCATCCTCACTTTTGGACAATTTGTGAAGAGAGAGCAGAGATATCTTTGCTGCGATACATCAGAGTGTCCTCTTACCTCTTTTTATTTCTTTTTCTGTATTTTGATTGGTTGTACAACACTTACACCTGAGCTGGCCCATAATAGGAGTGAAATAAATGGTGGCTATTATCAGCTACTGGTTTTCAGAAATCTGATCCTGTCCCCTCCCACCCGGTTTTATTTATTCACTTTTCTTTTTTATTTCAGCCCTCCCCACCCCCTCCACTTTGGCAACTATCAGCTTGTTCTCTATACCTATGGGTCTGTTTCTGGTTTGTTTTGCTTATTCATTCGTTTTGTTTTGCTCTTAGATTCCACATATAAGTGACATCACACAGTATTTGTTTTTCTCTGTCTGACTTAATTTCACTCAGCATAATACCCTCTAGATCCATCCGTGTTGTCACAAATGGCAAGATTTCATTCATTTTCATCCACCCATCTCTCAATGGACACCTGGGTTGCTTCTATATCTTGCCTATTGTAAATAATGCTGTAACGAACATACGGGTGCATACATCTTTTTGAATTAGTGTTTTTTATTTCTTTGGATATGTGCCCAGAAGTGGAATTGCTGGGTCAGATGGTAGTCTATTTTCAATTTTTTTCATGAACCTCCATACTGTTTTCCTTAGTGGCTGTATTAATTTACGATCCCACCAAAGTGCACAAGAGTCCCCTTTTCTCTATATCCTCGACAACACTTGCTTTTTGTTGACTTTTTTGATGATAGCCATTCTGACAGGTGTGAAGTGACACCTCCTTGTGGTTTTGATTTGCGTTTCCCTGATGATTAGTGGTGTTGAGCATCTTTTCATATCCTGTTGGCCATCTCTAGGTCCTCTCCGGAGAAAGGTCTATTCACGTCCTCTGCCCATGTGTTCATTGGATTGTTGGATGTTTGGGTGTTAGTTTGAATGTGTTCCTCATATATTTTGGATATTGACCCCTTATCGAATGTATCATTTGAGAATATTTTTTCCCACTCAGTAAGTTGTCTTTTTGTTTTGTTGATGATTTCCTGTGCTGTGCAAAAACTTCTGACTTTGATGTTGGCTGCTCCACTTTTAAAGCAATGCCAAAGGGTGGCAATCCCACAGCCTCTCTCTGACTTTAACCATGGCTCTTGGAGATTATGCAGGCCTCCCCCTCTCTTGGTTAAGTCCTCAGTGATGAATTTTCAGTCTCGGATCAGTTACTGAGTGTGAGACATACCAGGGTTTGTCTCCTGGTCTGCATTAAGAATAGCTAGGACAGGGGTGAAAATGGGACGGAGGTGGGGAGGGATGGGTGGGTGAGCTGGAATGGGAGTAAAGGGCAGAAAACTGTACTTGAACAATGATTAAAAAAAGAAGAAGAATAGCTAGGACATCTGTGACACCCAGGGGGTGTGCTCCACTGTTATCTAACAAGCAGTCACTCACGCAACCTGGCTGTGTTGCCCTGCCCCTGTACCGGCCGTGCTAGTATTTATTTAAACTTCTAATGGTAAATTAAAATTTTATTTTTTAATTCAAATGCAGCCCCACTCTAAGCAAAAGTATCCAGTAATCATGATCTGATGTGACGGGTTTATGGGAGCAAGAGCCCTGGGGCCGGACTTCTGGCATTCGAATCTTCCCTTTGCTTGCCACTTCCTACCCAGGTAATCTGGTGAGCTGCTGTTTCTCACTTGTTGCCTCACTTTAATCATCTTTAAAATGGGGACAACAATTGTAACTACCAATTGCATACGGTGCTGTGAGGATTAATTGAGGCGGTGGCAAAACTTCAAGATGACCATACACCATGCAGCCTCATGTTTCCTCCTTCGGTCAGAATTCATACTTTTTTATTCATAAGGGCCCAAGAGAGGAGACAGAGATTGTCCTCTGGCTGTGTGCCATGCACATGGGATATTTTCTTTTGAAAATAATACTTGCCTTATGTCTTTCTGTACCAGTATGTGCTTCAGTCAATAAGCCTGTGTTGGCTTCTTCGTGTGTGAGCCCTGTGCCAGGAAGTGTGTCAGAGATGGCAGTGGGGTTCTCTGAAGGATGTTAAAGGTGACAAAATACACTGGAAGATGTTATTGTCATGTCTGAGCTGGGAAAGGAGCAATACTAACACTCTGGGTCTGGGGGGGTGGCAGTGGGGATGGGGGAAGGGAGCAAGGCCTGGAGCTGGCCTAGACGGAGCCTCTTCTTGTGTTACCTTTGAAGAGGCAGGACCCTCTCTCTACAAACATTTGTGTCCCCTCGTCCCTTCCACATAAAGGAAGGAGTGAAGGGAACTTGGAAAGTACCAGGTGAACGCCCATCACCCACTTTTCCATAAAGCCCTGTGAGTAGTCTTTTAGGAAGAATCCCTTAGAGTCTTCTGCTGTGCCTGAGCTGACACCCTGAATGAGCCTCAGGCCTGCCTTGAAACACACTATTCTCTACCTAGGGACTCACACTGCCTTGTTTTGTGTACGTATGTGGTCCCAGTGGGGGAGGGCATGGGGTGGGGGGTTGGGGGTGGTGGCTGGGGAGGCCGAGTGATGGGGGATATGTTGGGTCTGTTCCATTTCAATGGAATTTTCTTAGCAATTTCCACCACATTTAAAAAGCCCACGTGACACACAGTGCTAATGCACAGAGAATTCACAACTTTATTGAAACTACAAAGCCTGTGCCCTCAAAAAGAGGGTCAGTGACTTACTACTTTTATTTAATACACAAAACAGATATTTGGTGAACTATTAGAAAATGGTAGCCATAAAAGTATCATTCACCGATGAAACACAAATATATACCAGACCCAGACCAGTGGGAACGGGCCACCAGGAGGGAAAGGTGGATAAAACAAGGGTGGAGGAGGAGGTAAGAACAGAGGGGGAAAGGGTAGCATAGGTGGCTGCAGAAGCCCCAACCCCAGTGGATAAGGATTCCATATCCAAGCCGGCTGCTGATAGAATATCCAAACATGTTGCGGATTAAGGATGGCACTGTGGGGTCCACCCATATTAATGCCAATGGGGTTACCCTGGGCCACGGAGTGCATGTTTCTCTGTCTTAATGCCCTCTGATGTCTCCTCCTATTCTTAAACCAAACCTTAAATCAGAGAGAAAATATGATTAGTTTAGGACATTAAGCATTTAATGTCATACCTGAAGAAATCACAGTAAGCAACTCTCCATGCCCTTAAGATTTTAAACTGCATCTGAAGGAGCTATTTCCTGCTAGCTCAAGCACCTTAGGAACGATCCCACCCACAGTGAGCACTAACTATGTACCAGGTTATGGCTTGGCTTACTGCTTTCTCTCTGCTCCCACCTTTCGTTTTATTTGTTCCCCCTCTTAGATGTAGGTGGAACTGAGGAATGGCCCTCTGTACCTGCTGTTATTGCTTTGCCTTGTATTTCTGTGACCTGTGGGGAAGCAGACCATGGTAAAAAGAGGGTGCCTTTTAAAATCCTGCTGAGAGAACAGCCTCCATTTTAAAAATGCCCTATTTCAGTGTACAGTGAAGAATCCATAGAGGTTCATTGGATATTTAGACAAAACATTCAGTTAAGGATGCCTAAAGGGTTGTTCATCATCTAAAACCTCTTAATGGTTAAAGAGATAGTATTGTAGGGAGGCCTGGTCATAGGGGGCACAGGGAGTTATAGCTTCTGTTGCTGGGACATCGGTAAAGATGAAGCCCTGGATGTTGCCTTAATATTTTAGAATATTGAGGTAATCAATGCTTAGATAGACTTGGTGCAAATTTCTTTGTTATAAAAAAAGATTGTATTTATTTATTTTTAGAGACGGGAAGGGAGAGACAAAGAGAGGGAGAGAAACAACAATGTGTGGTTGCCTCCCATGTAGCTCCGACTGGGGACCTGGCCCACAACCCGGGCATGTGCCCTGACTGGGAATTGAACCAGCAACCCTCTGGTTTGCAGGCTGGCACTCAATACACTGAGCCACACCAGGCAGGGCAAAACATTCCTTAATGTGATGAGAGAAAAAGACACACAAGTCCAGGAAGCACAGAGGGTCCCAAACTAGATGAACCCAAAGAAGCCTTCTCCAAGACACATCATAATTAAAATGGCAATATTCAAAGACAAAGAGAGAATCTTAAAGGCAGCAAGGGAGACACGGGAAGTAACATACAAGGGAGCTCTGTTAAGGCTACCAGCTGGTTTCTCAACAGAAATACTCCAAGCCAGATGGGAACAGCAAGAAATCTTTCAATTAATGAAAAGCAAAAGCCTGCAACCAAGACTATTCTACCCAGCAAGGCTCTCATTTAAAATGGATGGCAAAATAAGGAGTTTCCCAGTCTAAAGAAAGCTAAAATATACCTCCATCAAACCAGCATTGAAAGACAGGCTAAAGGCATTGCTTTAAGAAGGTGAAGAAAAAGAGTGAAAGAGAGAGGAACACAAAGGGGGAAAATGGCAATGAGTAAGTACCTGTTAATAATAACCTTAAATGTAAATGGATTAAATGTTCCAATCAAAAGACATAGGTAGAATGGATAGGAAAACATGACCTGCACGTATACAAGAGACCCACCTCAGAAGAAAAGACCTACACAGACTGAAAGTGAGGGCTGGAAGAAAATATTCCAGCCAATGGACAGGAGGAAAAAGCTACCATTGTAATAGTTATATCAGACAAAATAGATTTCAAAACAAAGGCCATAAAAAGAGACACAGAAGTACACTTCATAATACTCAAGTAGAGAATTCATAAAAGAGACAAACATTGTAAACATATATGCACCCAACATAGGGGCACCCAAATATATAAGGAAAATCTTGGAGGACTTCAAAAAAGATATAGACAGCAACACACATATAGAAGGGGATGTTATCACCCCACTATGAACAATGGAGAGATCTTCCAAACAAAGAATCAACAAAGCTATTGTGGCACTGAATGATACAATAGATCAAATGGCCTTAATTCATATATACAGAACCTTTCATCCCAAAGATAGACCACATGATAGGACACAAAACAAGCCTCAACAAACTGAAGAAAATTGAAACCGTATCAAGCATTTTCTTGGACCACAATGGCTTGAAACTAGAAACCAACCTCAAGGAAAAACCCCAAAAACAGACAAATTCATGGAGACTGAATAACATGTTATTAAACAATGAATGGGGTAACAATAAGATCAAGGAATTAATCAAAAAGTTTCTGGAAACACCCTGGCTGGTGTAGCTCAGTGGATTGAGCGCGGGCTGCGAACCAAAGCATCACAGGTTCGATTCCCAGTCAGGGCACATGCCTGGGTTGCAGGCCACAGCCCCCAGCAACCGCACATTGATGTTTCTCTCTCTCACTCTCTTTCTCTCTCCCTTCCCTCTCTAAAAATAAATTAAAAATAAAATCTTAAAAAAATCTTTAAAAAAAAAGTTTCTGGAAACAAATGAAAATGAACACACAACAGCCCAAAACCTATGGGACACAGCAAAGGCAGTCCTTTGTTATGAACTTCCGTTCATAACAATACAGACCTACAAAAACAAACAAACAAACATTTCAAATAAACAACCTAACCCTACACCTACAAGAACTGGAGGAACAAAAAATAAAACCCAGAGCAAGTAGAAGTAAGGAAATAATCAAGATCAGAGCAGAACTAAATGACATAGAGACTAAAAGAACAATTGAAAAATCAGTAAATCTAGGAGCTGGTTCTTTGAAAAGATAAACAAAATTGACAAGCCTTGGCCCTGGCTGGTGTGACCCAGTGGATTGGGCACTGGCCTGCAAACCAAAGGGTCACTGGTTCAATTACCAGTCAAGGCATATGCCTGGGTTGCAGGCCAGGTCATGTTTCTAGTAGGGAGCATGTGAGAAGCAACCACACATTGATGTTTCTCTTCCTCTCTTTCTCCCTCCCTTCCCCTCTATCTACAATAAATAAATGAAATCTTAAAAAAGAGTAACTTTAAAAAAATCAACGAGGCTTTAACCAGACTCACCAAGAAAAAAAGTGAGAGAAGCCAATTAAATAAAATCAGAAATGAAAGAAGAGGAATTACAACCAACACCACAGAAATACAAAGGATTGTAAGAAATTACTATGAACAAGTAATTTCTTGGCATATTACTGTATGCCAAGAAATTTGAAAACCTGGGTGAAATGGAAAAATTCCTAGAAACATAATCTTCCAAAACTGAATCAGGAAGAAGCAGAAAGCCTAAACAGACAGATAACAGCTAGTGAAATTGAAGCAGTAATCAAAAAACTACTGACACAAAAAATCCCTGGACCAGATGGTTTCACAGGAAAATTCTACAAAACATTTAAGGAAAAGTTAACCCCTGTCCTTCACAGGCTATTCTAAAAACTCTAAGAACAGGGAAGACTCCCAAACTTTTTGTATGAAGCCAACATCATCCTAATCCCAAAGCCAGATAAATGCAAAACAAAGAAAGAAAACTATAAGCCAATATTGCTGAATAACATAGACTCTAAAATCTTCAACGAAATATTGGCAAACCACATCCAGCAATACATTAAAAAGATCACACACCATGATCAAGTGGGGTTCATCCAGGGATGCAAGGATGGTACAATATTTGCAAATCAAAAAATGTAATACATAAACAAACAGAAAGACAAAAATCACATGATCATACCAATAGATGCTGAAAAAACATGTGATAAAGTACAGAACCTATTTATGATAAAAAACACTCAGCAAAGTGGGAGTAAAGGTAGCAGACCTCAACATAATAAAGGCCATACACGAGAAACCTACAGTCAATATACTCAACATGCAAAAACTAAAAGCTTTGTCATCAAAACTGAATTGTTTCTTTGCCTCTGAGCTGCATTTGCCCAAAGTTAGCAGAGCCCTGGTCCTCCCAAGCCCTGGTCAGCCATGAGTGTGATCCCTGCCCTTGGCACTCAGTGGCCTGCCTGGTTGGGCTGCTTTCCAGGCAGCTCCCAAGCAGAAGATCTGCAGCCAGATTCTGTCAGTGCACTCACACGCACTGTCAGCAGCAAAGCTCATAAGCCCATCCTGATTTTTCCTCCTTTACTTTTCTTCTCCATCTCACCCCAAATTATTCTTTGATGCAACTTGGGTTTATGTATGGTCTCAGAGAATCACCTCTTGACCCACTGACCCATAAGTCAGTCATCACTGACTGAGGAAATGAAAAAGTATTTCAAATAGCCCCAGGTGAGCATCCAGCCTGAACTCAGAGCCACCTCACACTACCAACAAGCTCCGCACAACCCGTCTCTTCACAAAAAGGAAGAAAAGATCTCTTAGGGATTAGAAATTCCTCAACAGTGGGTGGTTTGGGGTGGGGGGGGGAATAAAAGATAGAAAATTGTACTGCAACGACAATTAAAATAAAGAAAAAAAAAAGGATTCCTCAACAGTGTTCACTAATGCATTTGGTAGTTTCTGAGATTTCACTGTGTGTGGCATCCTCAGGGCACACAGTTGATCCTATATTAATCTTGTCTAGCACTTAATGCCTTTCTTAGGTTGGTAGAACTCTGAAATTGTTTTAGTTTATTTCCTGTTTTAGACACATGTCAAAAGTTGCATCTCTCCGTTGCACCGCACCATAAAGCACAACTAACTACATTAGCAACGTTTGCAGACTGACGTATCTGAGTATTCCACAAAATTAACATTTAGGGCTGCCACTCTACACCGTTTTACCAAACACTTAAAAACGGCAGGAAAAACAGGTACTTGGACTTGGGGACTAACCCCCCAACATTTGTCTCACCTTAACTAAACAGATTTTAGTTGCTCATCTGTTGTGTTCTACTGTGTGAATTATTCCCCCCAGTCCTTAAATATTTATAAATTTACTTCTTATGCAATGAACTTATGCTTGTCTTTTAAATACTTTAGTATCCCCCTTTTTGCTTTAGCTCCAAGTGGCTGCAGTCAAAATGGGCAAGTTTATGAAACCTGGGTCCTGGCCAGAAGTTACTCCAGATGGAAGGTGGTCATCATGAGGAATGCTGATGATGACACCTCCGACCACCCCTGCAAGCCATGCTCTGGTGGCTGGAATTGACCACTATTGCCCCAATGTGACAACTGCCATGGGGAAGAAGAAAATTGCCAAGAGGAAAAAAGTCAAGTCTTTTGTGAAGTTTAAAACTACAATCACATTATGCCCACATGGTACTCTGTGAATATCCTCTTGGACAAAACTCTCTTCAACAAGGACATTTTCAGAGGCCCTGCTGTGAAACCCAAGGCCCAACAGAAGGCCAAGACAAGTTTGAAGAGAGGTACAACAGCAACAAGAACAAATGGTTCTTCCAGAAGCTGTGGGTTTAGATATTTTTTTGTTCCAGTCATTAAAATTAAAAAAAACACACATTTTTGTATAATTGCACTCCTTGGCTCATTAATATCAATAATTTCCACTTGACACTTAACCTCAATGCGACCTCACATGGAAGTTTAATCTCAAGTATACCAGTATTAGCAGTTGAACTGTGTGTGTGTGTAATACACATATAATATATAAGTAAACATAGATATAGCTTATAGGAATTCTTTTTCATTTGGAAATCATGTTCCTTCTGATAATGGGCAATTTCCAAAAGCTAGAGTTTATTTCTTATTAACTCAGACACCAAACTTGTTTTCCAATGATGGAAAAGGCAATAAAAACACATGAACTTGGGACTGTCTTGGACAAAGATGTGTAAGTCCCCAAACAGGTTTGAGAATGGCTGCCAAGCCCAATGGCTTTTCTCAGGTTTACTGACCTGCACTCTGGCCTCAGGCACATTCATTCGGGTCGCAATGTCCTGTCTGCAAGAGGAAAACCACAAATGTTCAGTATCCAGAGATGTGGATGAACACTGAATATAAAATGTTATTTCATTCTTATTTAAATTGTTTTCAAGGAAATGTCAGTGATTTATTTTATGTATCAATTACTATAGTAGGAAAACTCACACCATTTCAGGATTTACAGTCAAATTAAATTGACAAAGCATTTTTAAAAAGCCAAGTCTCATGGGGACACAATTCCAAAGAACACATGAAATTCTAACTATTGTTTCTTTTCATGTTATCAACTTCAAAATGACTTACTCTCTGACTGAGGAAATATCTCCACCAACTTTCAACCATTGCTCTCACTCATTTTATGGATTAAATTACACCCTTAAAAGGTTTGGTTTTTCTATCCATCTACCTAAGAGTGATGTACAGGTTGGAGTACATTGCTAGTAGATGGTAAAGGACAACACAAACTCTCTGCCTCCCTTCATTCTTTGTGTTTATTTTTAAAAATTTTAATCACCATCCCCCACCCCCACTATTCTATAATATGTAGCTTGAGTCATGCTTTACAGACATATCTTCTGAAGAGCCATGTTTAAGGGGACGCAGAAAAATCACTACTGAAGATAAATAATTTTCAAATGCAGGACTTAAAAATATAAAAACCAAAGCCCAATTAATCTATGGTGAACAGATTTGTCAACATTTTAAATTAAGTTAGGACCTAGTTCTAATAAAAAGTTATTTAAAATAACAGGTACCTGCCTGATTTCCAGTTTGATTCATTTAAATACACCATGACTTTATTTACCTTGAGTCTCAAAAGGTGTAGCACCCCTCCCCCTCCCCACCTCAAGTGCAGGACAGCGGCCACCACTCCTCCTCACAGCCTCCAGTCCTCAGTTTGCCTTTAGTTCAGGGGGGAAAGAAGGACCTGTGAAAGGGTGCCAAAGGCCACTGTGGCCCATCGCCACGTGCTGGCTGGAAAGGGTGCCAACCCTGGGAACCTGCTTACCTCATCACCAAGTCGGGGTGGGCGTTGCGTTGGAAAATGCGCTCCAGCTCTTGCAGCTGCACCTCGGAGAACGTGGCACGCTGGGCTACCTGCTGCCTGTTCCGTGGTCGTGGATGCAGGACCTCTTGTCCCTGCTCTCCTGGTTTTTGGCCACTATCGCCGCTGGCCTCCTGGTTTTCAACCTTAATGGTAACAGGGGCACCTGAGCCACCCAGGCCACCATTACTGCCTTCTTTCGCTTCTTCTTCAGCTCCTATCTCTTTTCCTTCTGCTGATGCTGCTCTCTGCTCAGGTTCCGGCTGCATACCCTTTTCCTCTTCTCCACCTCTGAAGAGCGAGATCCCCACAGGCTTCACATCTGCAAAGGAAGAAACAGAAAGAGAATGATCAGGGTGTTATGTAGCCTAGGCCATGGAAAGGATAAGGAGAGTGGCTGCATCCTAGGGGTGTCCGGTCCACTCCCCTCTCCCAGAAAACATTGGTTTGTTGGAGTTGGCTGAAGTTCACGTCCTGACCAGCACGAACCATGCAGTTCTCCACCACCCTCTTCCACTCCTAGGCTGAGGAAGCTACCGGCACGCCGGCTCGGCTGGTCCTGGGGCTTCATGCTCTGAGTGTTGTCCATGAGGCAGTGGCTGCTGGACATGTTGTCACGCGACCTAGCTCCTTCAAGGTTCTTCCAGTGTTTAGTAGCAACAGTTCACCGCCCAGTGCTGGGGGAGGGGTGCGCGTGGTGACATGCGCATAGGGCAGGGAATTGCTGCGCATGCGGCAGGGGGTTGGACTGCAAAAGGGACTGTGTACTTGCAAGAAGGGCTCTCATAGGGCGCATGCTTGAGAGCATAACTTCCGCCCCCAAGATGCAATTCAGCCAATTGCTCCTGACTTGGTGGAGCATCTGTCTTTCAGAGGGGAAGGGGCTCTGCTGGATCATGAAAACCGATTTCTGCAGGGTATGGGACACAGCTCATACTAGCTCCAGAGACCTTGCAGAAATGCTTACAAAGTAGCTAATAACACCCACCATTTACTTCGTTCCTACTATGTGCCAGCTCAGGCCTAAGTTTTTCACAGCCAATCAAAATAAAAGTAAGAGGACAATCTAATACATCTTAGTTTTCTAATATATCTCTGCTCTCTTTTCACAAATTGTCCAAAAGTGAGAATGAGAAATGAAACACCAATAATGCTGATCTCAGTATTTGTCAGGAAGGGCCAAGGGTGGCTGAGTGCCCTAGAGGTTCACACCCAGAGAGAAAACGTGCAAGAGCAGACACTGGGCACAGCCAGCTAAACAGAAAGTTCTCTGTGTTTAGTGGATTACAGATGCCGAGTAGGAAAACGAATGACTGCTTGTTTGGAACGACCAGACTGAAGGCCAGAGGTGGTCTATAGGAGATATATTTTTTTTTTTATCCCTAGAAACATACTACCTTTGCAATCACTCTGCAAACCTTCAAAAATCTGTGAGTCAGGAGCAGCCTTACTGCCACAAACAGCAAACTACAACAAATGTAGTAACAATTAGTTACAAAACAATGAAGAGTGAGCCCACTCCACTGACTCTGGGGCTTCTGCAGCCCCTTGTGCTATGCGTTCCACCCTTGTTCTTGCCTCTTCTTCCACCCCTGTTTTTGCATGTTTGCAAAAACACAGGCTTTGTAGTTTCAATAAAGTTGTGAATTCTCTGTGCATTAGCACTGTGTGTCACGTGGGCTTTTTAAATGTGGTGGAAATTGCTAAGAAAATTCCATTGAAATGGAACAGACCCAACATATCCCCCATCACTCGGCCTCCCCAGCCACCTCCCCATCCCCCACCCCATGCCCTCCCCACTGGGACCACATACGTACACAAAACAAGGCAGTGTGAGTCCCTAGGTAGAGAATAGTGTGTTTCAAGGCAGGCCTGAGGCTCATTCAGGGTGTCAGCTCAGGCACAGCAGAAGACTCTAAGGGATTCTTCCTAAAAGACTACTCACAGGGCTTTATGGAAAAGTGGGTGATGGGCGTTCACCTGGTACTTTCCAAGTTCCCTTCACTCCTTCCTTTATGTGGAAGGGACGAGGGGACACAAATGTTTGTAGAGAGAGGGTCCTGCCTCTTCAAAGGTAACACAAGAAGAGGCTCCGTCTAGGCCAGCTCCAGGCCTTGCTCCCTTCCCCATCCCCACTGCCACCCCCAGACCCAGAGTGTTAGTATTGCTCCTTTCCCAGCTCAGACATGACAATAACATCTTCCAGTGTATTTTGTCACCTTTAACATCCTTCAGAGAACCCCACTGCCATCTCTGACACACTTCCTGGCACAGGGCTCACACACGAAGAAGCCAACACAGGCTTATTGACTGAAGCACATACTGGTACAGAAAGACATAAGGCAAGTATTATTTTCAAAAGAAAATATCCCATGTGCATGGCACACAGCCAGAGGACAATCTCTGTCTCCTCTCTTGGGCCCTTATGAATAAAAAAGTATGAATTCTGACCGAAGGAGGAAACATGAGGCTGCATGGTGTATGGTCATCTTGAAGTTTTGCCACCGCCTCAATTAATCCTCACAGCACCGTATGCAATTGGTAGTTACAATTGTTGTCCCCATTTTAAAGATGATTAAAGTGAGGCAACAAGTGAGAAACAGCAGCTCACCAGATTACCTGGGTAGGAAGTGGCAAGCAAAGGGAAGATTCGAATGCCAGAAGTCCGGCCCCAGGGCTCTTGCTCCCATAAACCCGTCACATCAGATCATGATTACTGGATACTTTTGCTTAGAGTGGGGCTGCATTTGAATTAAAAAATAAAATTTTAATTTACCATTAGAAGTTTAAATAAATACTAGCACGGCCGGTACAGGGGCAGGGCAACACAGCCAGGTTGCGTGAGTGACTGCTTGTTAGATAACAGTGGAGCACACCCCCTGGGTGTCACAGATGTCCTAGCTATTCTTCTTCTTTTTTTAATCATTGTTCAAGTACAGTTTTCTGCCCTTTACTCCCATTCCAGCTCACCCACCCATCCCTCCCCCACCTCCGTCCCATTTTCACCCCTGTCCTAGCTATTCTTAATGCAGACCAGGAGACAAACCCTGGTATGTCTCACACTCAGTAACTGATCCGAGACTGAAAATTCATCACTGAGGACTTAACCAAGAGGGGGGGAGGCCTGCATAATCTCCAAGAGCCATGGTTAAAGTCAGAGAGAGGCTGTGGGATTGCCACCCTTTGGCATTGCTTTAAAAGTGGAGCAGCCAACATCAAAGTCAGAAGTTTTTGCACAGCACAGGAAATCATCAACAAAACAAAAAGACAACTTACTGAGTGGGAAAAAAATATTCTCAAATGATACATTCGATAAGGGGTCAATATCCAAAATATATGAGGAACACATTCAAACTAACACCCAAACATCCAACAATCCAATGAACACATGGGCAGAGGACGTGAATAGACCTTTCTCCGGAGAGGACCTAGAGATGGCCAACAGGATATGAAAAGATGCTCAACACCACTAATCATCAGGGAAACGCAAATCAAAACCACAAGGAGGTGTCACTTCACACCTGTCAGAATGGCTATCATCAAAAAAGTCAACAAAAAGCAAGTGTTGTCGAGGATATAGAGAAAAGGGGACTCTTGTGCACTTTGGTGGGATCGTAAATTAATACAGCCACTAAGGAAAACAGTATGGAGGTTCATGAAAAAAATTGAAAATAGACTACCATCTGACCCAGCAATTCCACTTCTGGGCACATATCCAAAGAAATAAAAAACACTAATTCAAAAAGATGTATGCACCCGTATGTTCGTTACAGCATTATTTACAATAGGCAAGATATAGAAGCAACCCAGGTGTCCATTGAGAGATGGGTGGATGAAAATGAATGAAATCTTGCCATTTGTGACAACACGGATGGATCTAGAGGGTATTATGCTGAGTGAAATTAAGTCAGACAGAGAAAAACAAATACTGTGTGATGTCACTTATATGTGGAATCTAAGAGCAAAACAAAACGAATGAATAAGCAAAACAAACCAGAAACAGACCCATAGGTATAGAGAACAAGCTGATAGTTGCCAAAGTGGAGGGGGTGGGGAGGGCTGAAATAAAAAAGAAAAGTGAATAAATAAAACCGGGTGGGAGGGGACAGGATCAGATTTCTGAAAACCAGTAGCTGATAATAGCCACCATTTATTTCACTCCTATTATGGGCCAGCTCAGGTGTAAGTGTTGTACAACCAATCAAAATACAGAAAAAGAAATAAAAAGAGGTAAGAGGACACTCTGATGTATCGCAGCAAAGATATCTCTGCTCTCTCTTCACAAATTGTCCAAAAGTGAGGATGAGAAATGAAACACCAATAATGCTGATCTCAGTATTTGTCAGGAAGGGCTAAGGGTGGCTGAGTGCCCTAGAGGTTCACACCCAGAGAGAAAACGTGCAAGAGCCGACACTGGGCACAGCCAGCTGAACAGAAAGTTCTCTGTGTTTAGTGGATTACAGACGCCGAGTATGAAAACCAATGACTGCTTGTTTGGAATGACCAGACTGAAGGCCAGAGGAGGGCTATGGGAGTTTCTTTACCCCTGGAGACACACTACCTTTGCGATCAGTCTTCAGGCCTGAAGAATGTCTGTCTGTGAGTCACAAACAGTCTTACCACTGCCAATGTTTTTTAGCCTCTGAAAAGAGGAATGCTACACCAATCCTCATAACAGTCCCCTGTGCTATATTGACTGTGAATTGGGGAAACTTTCATGCCCCTTTCAAGCATTGTTCTGGCCCTGTGTCCCACACTACATTCCTGTACAGAGCTCAGTCCAGGAAACAAGGATCTAACCCCCGGTGACAAAAGCATACATACATGCACACAGATGTACACAGGGATCGTACCCTGAGGACGGACACACACACACACACACACACACACACACACACACACACACACACACATTCTGTCAGTCATCTTCTTCTAGCTGATTCCTTAGCCATCACCCACAATTTGGGGGGGGTGGCGGGGGCACTTATCCATTAGGCACAGTCTGAGATGTTCCTAAATCCATTTAAAGGCCCACAAAAAGGTTTAGTTTCTTTCATAAAACGATGCTGAATGCAGTGGTGTTTGCGATGGTAGACATAGGATAAATCATATATGTTACCAAGCATAGGGCCCATTATTAGAAGCAATTGGCAATGTCCGGGGATAATAGCACCTGTGGAGCATCTACAAAGCACATCTTGAAGGGAGAGCCATGGAGCCCCCAGTGAGGCCTGTATCACCTTCTTTTTGAAAATGAATATAATGTTTGTTAATTTTTTAAATATATGTGTATTGATTTGAGAGAGAGAGAGAGGAAGGGATGATGATGAGAGAGAGAGAGAGAGAAAGAGAGAGAGAGAGAGAGAGAGAGAGAGAGAGAGAGAGAGAGAGAGAGAGAGAGAGAGAAACAGACATCTGAGGTATGAGAGAAACATCAATCGGTTGCCTCTCGAATGCATCCCCACCAGGACCAAAACCTAGGCATGTCCCGACCAGGAATCAAACCATCTAATTTCTGCTGCACAGGATGTCACTCCACCCAACTAAGTCGCACCGGCCAGGGCCAATTTC